AACAAATACCAACAACTTTAAATTATTTGGAATTGTTGCCTGAAAAAAAAACTTGAAAGTTTTGCAGCATAGATTATAGATTGTTGTATACTGACTTACCACACATGTATGGCATGCATATTTGATACATGTGAGCGTATGAGTGCGTGTTTGTGTACAACGAAACAACAACTTCCGGTCAATCATAATTATTGTTTGGTGGCGCTCTTTTTTTTGCATTTTTATGCATTGTTCGCTTTTTGCTCCATCTTTTATCGGCATTGTACACACATATGTGTGAGAGACGAGAGAATAACAAAATATAAATGCAAAACATAGGATTTGTGTTTTTGTTGTATGGGCATGTGTGCGTGTTTGTGTGATTGTGTGATTGAATGGGGAACCACATGTGCTATAACGGCATTTGTCAGCTGTTATCAAGAGAGTTGCCAGATTCGTGGCATGTAAATGAAAATGAATAAAAATAGGAGTAAATGGGAATTAATTAAATTTTAGGTGCCAATATTCTCCAAAAAGTGTTTGCCAAAAATAAGACCAGAAGTGTCTATACCTTGATGAAGATGATTAATATTAGACCACATTAGAAAGAGCCTGAGCCCTATATGACGATAGCTGATTTAAGAAATATTTTCATATCATTTGAAACATCGGCATTTGTCAGCTGTTAACAAGAGAGTTGCCACATTCAGGTCAAGTAAATAAAAATAGGAATTAGTGGGAATTGATTAAATTTTAGGTTCAAATATTCTCCAAAAAGTGTTTGTCAAAAATAAGACAGGAACTGATAGTCTATACTAAGATGAACATGATTCATATTAGACCACATTCGAAAGCGCCTGAGCCCTATACGATGATAACTGATGTAAGAAATATTTTAGAAACCACTAAAGGAAGTCTTAAAGTCGGGCGGGGACGACTTTATGATACCCTACACCACTTTGCTAAATTAGCAGAGCTCCATATAACAATTAAAATTTTTATGGGAGAATTCAATCATACACACTATGATTATAATTATAATTTAAAGTTCAAAGGACTAAATATGCCGAAGCATTTGTATCTTTTAAATTCGGACGTGTATTGCCCATTTCATATATATGGGAGATATATCCAAATCTGAACCGATCTTGATAAAATTTGGCAAAGATATTTCTGAGCTGTATTTCATATATTTCCTTGAATATAGTTGTTACGGAGTGCATATTACGGCTGTGGGTAACAAATACAACAAATCGGATGAACAATATATATGGGAGCTATAGCTATATCTGAAGCGATCTTCACTAAATTTGACATACTAACCTCTAGACTCAATTCGATCGTAAGTGCCAAATTGCATCCCATTTGGGCAAATATTAGACGTTTGGCGCACAATAAAAGGTAAATCGGACAATTATATATGGGAGCTATATCCAAATCCGAATCGATCTTGATAACATTTGGCAAAGATATTTCTGAGCTGTATTTCATTTATTTCCCTGGATATCGTTGTTACGGAGTGCATATTACGGCTGTGGGTAACAAATATAACAAACCGGATGAACAATATATATGGGAGCTATAGCTATATCTGAAGCGATCTTCACCAAATTTGACATACTGACCTCTAGACTCAATTCGGTCGTAAGTGATAAATTCCATCCCATTTGGACAAATATTAGACTTTGGTGCACAATAAAACTTAAATCGGACGAAGTTATATATGAGAGCTATATCCAAATCTGAACCGATCTCGATAAAATTTAGCAAAGGTATTTCTGAGCTGTATTTGATATATTTTCCTGAATATCGTTGTTACGGAGTGCATACTACGGCTGCGGAGCACAAAAATAACAAATCGGATGAACAATATATATGGGAGCTATAGTTATATCTGAACCGATTTCGATCAAATTTAGCATACTTATTTTCAGGCCTAATTTGGTTGTATGTGCAAAATTCCATATTATTCGGGCTGATATTACACGTTTGGTGCACAATAAAAAGCAAATCGGACGAAGATATATATGGGAGCTATATCTAAATTTTTACCGATTATCTCCAATTTCAATAGGGTTTGTCCTTGGGCCAAACAAATGATTTGTGCAAAATTTCATTTGGATAGGGCAATAAATGCGACCTGTACTTTGTTTACAAAAATACATGGACAGACGGACATGCATAAATCGACTCAGAATGTGATTCTATGCAGATCATCAAAAGGAACTTTCCTTTTCCGTTTCCTTTTGCCTGTTACAAACAAATGCACAAAGACAAAATACCCTGACCACCTTGTGGCGGTCTTTAAGGCCTTTAAAATATATTGAATATAAGCCAGTAAAGAGAGGTAAAAAGTCGATAGAGTAGAGTGGAATTTATGTGAATTTGGAATTTTTTGGAAGTAGCTATGAAGCTAATTTGAATACTTATTTTGGCTTTAGAGGAGTTATAATTTTAAATCAGAGGAAACTAATAAATGGAAGGTATATCCCGATTTTCGATTTAATCGGGTGAACGGATCCCCATAAAATTTGGCAGAGTATATTTGAGTTGTATTTGATATCTGGGACCAAATATCGTTGTTTTAGAGTGTAGATTATGAACGTGGACCTAAATTTTCACTGTTCTGTCGCCGGAGCTAGAGCCCATTATGCACCATAAACACCAATTTTTAAACAAATCCGTAGAAAAATGTAGTAAAAACTATCAAAATTCCGAATATCTGGAGGTACAGTTACATGGGAGCTATACGAAAACTTGTACCTATACTTACTGTATTCCGTCACAGGAGCTAAAACCCATTATGACCTGCAAATACCAATTTTTGGACAAATCCGAGGAAATTATTACAAAATTCCGACAGCTGTTAAAATTATTCCAGTGGCAGCTCATTATATTGTTTACAAGCGTACAAAATCATTTTGGTGAGAATTTTCCAGAAAGTAAGTTATTCGTGATGATTTCGATTTCTTTATATTTGGCTGGAAAACCACAAGTGGCTATCGTTAGAGCACTCCAGCATTTAAATGTGAATAAATATTTTTTTGTATTATTATACCCTTAGTCACATGGCTAGAGAGGGAATATATAATTTGCTACGGTCAAAACGTGCCTCGAAAAAACGGTTTTAGATCCTAGGCCTCTTGGGGTCAAATCCGTCTCAGGACATTTGCTGTCGATCTAGAGATGTCCATCTGTCTGTCTTGTTGATAATCACGATAACTCTCGAAAGAAGAATTCGATTTGGTCCAAACTTGGTACATCGTAATATTATTATCAAACTTCGTCGGTCACTCCTTATGGTACCTCCCACACAAATGGTCGACATTTTCAAAGAAAATATTTTACGGCACAAATGTACCTCCACCGCAAAGACTCAAAGTTTTGAATGGCCAAAACGATCATACAATCCGAAATAGGCATCCGGTTCTCTTCAAATTACTCACATCACAATATTTTTATTAGCCCAACATCTGGTGTGAAATAGGATATATCGGTACACTCCTTTTGGTACCCCCACAAAGGGTCACAATTTTTGAACATTCATGAAGCTCACAAAACATGAAATCAACATCCGAAATATTATTTCTTACGCATGATCTGTTGTGAAGATAATATATATCTGCCTACCCCCTTCCATGGTACCGCAACTCAAAGTCGCTACCGACCAATTTACTCCCATAATCGACTTGTCACTTCGTACGACTTTTTTTTTTGTTGTCTGTTTTGTTCTCTGTCACTCTGTAAATTAAAGTAAATTGAATTGCATTTGCATTATATGGAAGTAGACATCAGATGTTATTTTATTCTCCCTGCTGTAGTTATTAGTGGATATTCTTGTTGTTGCTATCGTCTGATTTGCGTTGTCTGCTGTTCTCTGGCGTTTTGTAATAAAGTCGTTGCCGGCTGGCTGTTGAATGGATGGATGGATGGCTGGCTGGATGGATGGATGATCAATGAATGAATGCAAAGAACAGGAAAAACATGAATGAATATTTTTATAGGTACATGTGTATGTGTGAGTGTGTGTGTAAAGAACATGTGATTCTTGGGAGAATTTGTAATACAAAAAATTATAATTTTTTTTTTATTATTTTTTTTTTTATTTATTTTTTTTTTTTTATTTTATTTTTTTTTTTTTTTGTAAAAAAAATAATTGTTTTCTTACGCGAATTTTATTTATGTTTTTTGATAACAATATATAATATATAATATAATATAATATAATATAATATAATATAATATAATATAATATAATATAATATAATATAATATAATATAATATAATATAATATAATATAATATAATATAATATAATATAATATAATATAATATAATATAATATAATATAATATAATATAATATAATATAATATATATAATATAATATAATATAATATAATATAATATAATATAATATAATATAATATAATATAATATAATATAATATAATATAAAAAAATAATGAAATATTTAAAATAAATTATAATAAAAATTTAAATAATGATTAATTATAATTAAAAAAATATTAAAGTAATAAAAATTAATAAATCAGGAAATTAAAATCTGCATTAATTTCAAAATGAATGTTACAATTAAATATAATGCCAACGGTTTTGTAAACATATCAAAATAAATAAATTAAAATTTGAAATATCTTTACTGTCTTAAAATCGTCAGTTTTACTTTCAAATAAAAAAATAACAAATTCAACTTGATTCCTGTGATTAAAATTATCCTGATTTTGTTCTATTTTTTAATTCATACAGAACAACGAAAAATATATCCAAACAAACTACAATATATAAATGCGTAATAAATACAATAAAAAAATTTGAAAAAAAACGACAACAATGTTCACCACAACAAAAACTAAATAAAACATAATTTACAATTTCAAAAAAAAAAATTAGTAGTGAAATAAAACGAAAGAAAAAAAACAAACAAAATACTATTTTAAATATGACTTCACAAACAACGTCACAACTGTCGTCATTAACATCAACATCACCATCACAACGATCAATACCTGCCATTTGTAAAATGTTTACAAAACATTTTCGTCGAAAATCTCCGAATTGCTGTACACGGATAAATTCCCACAGAAACCGTTCCAGCTATACACCAGCCTGCAGTTCGAATTGTAGAAAAATGAACGTCACCAGTTCAATCCGAATGTCAACATTTATTGTTTTCATAATTTTAAGTGTTTTAGTTAATAAGGTAAGTACAAAAAATATATATATAAAAATATAAAATATATTGAAATAATAGGGAGAATGCCCGCCTTAAAATGTTAGAATTGTTCCAACAGTTCGTGTCAGGCCAATTTTAATACTTAGTGCATAATTTGTTCAGTCTGACAAAATGTATTAATCAAAACTTCATATATCGTACTAAATTTTCAGACCTTCTAGGGCATAAATATATTTTTCAAATTTTTCCATTTTCGGAAAGAATTATAGGAAAATGTTTACCATTTACACCGAAAAGTCTTAAAAATCTTTAATTTTGAGGTTTACCGCGGAGGAAATTTTGTAAAATCATTAAAAAATTGGCCCACATCAAAGTTTCCTATTCAAAACTACATCAACGTTTCCATATGTAGACCCTCGAAACCAACAGTGACCTCAATATGAATCTTCAGAATTTCAGCTTTATCCCAATACCAAATTTTGTACCATTTATTACAATTATAGTACTCATTTCCGAAACTACCTCCATATCTTAACTCCAGACACCAACAGATACCTAAATATTTTATTTCAGCTCTAACCCTTCGCAGAATGCCACATTTAAGACTATTTAGTACTTTTCGTACTAACATAGGACTCATTAAAAAAAGCACTCCCAAATGTCAACCTGTGATACCAACAGTTATTTAAATATCAAATTTCAGGATTTTATCTCTTTTTCTTCAGCCAATACCAAATATAGTACCATTTAGTACTTTTCGTACAAATATAGGACGCCTTTAAATAAACCTCCATGTGACCAGGCTACACATAAACATCGTCCTTATACCAAATTTCAGATGTCAAGCAACATCTTAATACCCAATACCAAATTGGGTACTATTTAGTACTTTTCGTACAATTAAAATACATATCTTAACCCAGACACCCAATATTATATATCAATCGCAGATACCTACAGAGACCTCAATATAATTTTTTTCCGGATTTCTGCTATGTAATTTCCTTATTACCAAATTCAGTACCACTTAATACTTTTCGTACAATTATGGTACATATTTCCAAAAAAAACCCCCATATTTCAATTCTAGTTACAACCAGAGACCTCAAAATCAAATTTCAGGATTCCCGCCCTATCTCTTCACCTAATACCAAATTTAGTACCATTTTGTACTTTTCGTACAATTATAGTACACCTTCCCAAAACCAACTTCATATCTTAGCCACAGACATTAAAAGGGACCTCGGCATAAAATTTCATGATTTCAGCTCTACTCTTTCACCCAATATCACCCAATATGATATGGGACGCATTTCCAAACAACCGCCCAAATTTTAAACTCAGATGCCAACATTTATTTGAATATCAAATTTCAGAATTGTATCTCTATCCCTTCACCCAGTATCAAATTTGGTACCATCAAGTACTTTTAAGATAGGTTAAGATATGAAGATGGTTTAGTATTTTTCGCACAATTATGGTTCCCATTTCCAACCATTGTTGTACGAAATATCAAATGGTACCATTTTAGAAGTTTTGTAACATTTTAGAACATTTCTTAAATTTCCAATAACTCCAAATTCAAACTTCCCATAACTATTTGATGCATCTATCCTGCACTACATCAGTTTCTCTCATTCAAAATTTCAGGATTCCCGCTCCATCGGTTTAACACAATTCCAATTGGCACCAACTTTAGTACGATTTAGTACATAAGTACGAATTTCCAAACTTCATACATAACCAAAATCATACACTCCCACAGTAACTCAAATTCCAAAGTTCAGCATTCCATTCTTATCGGTCCATCTAATAACAAATTGTACCAAATTTAGTACCATATACTATACTTTATAGATACGTTCGAATTTCCAGCTCTATCGGTAATACTCTTATGTACAAATTCTCATTACTGCGTAGAAAATAAATTAAAAATTGAAATTAAAATTGAACCAAAATTTTGTACCGTTTAGTACTCATAACTACGAATTTCCATTTAATGCAATAGTAATCTTATTTCTAAATATTAGGATTCCAACTCTACCGGTTCTTCCAAAATTTAAAATGTACCAACTTTACCAACATGATACGAAATGTGGTTCAAAATATAGCATATTTTAGCACTTCTCGTACACCTATAGTGCGAATTTCCATAAACCCTCTGGTACATCTATCATACACGCCATCAATGACCCTCATTCCAAATTGAAGAGTTTTAGCTGTTACTGTTACCTCAAATACAAAGGGTGCCATATTTAGCGCCTTTCAATACTTTTCATACCGTTCTGGTATGGATTTTGATATCGAGCATTTTGAAAAACTCAGCCCTTCTGTCCCCTTTGCACAAAGAATGACCCTCAGCCAAAATTTCAAAATTCTTGCTTTAGACGTTTCATCTGGGCGTTGATGAATCGTTAAGTCAGTCAGTAAGTCAATTGTTTTACTCTTTTATTAATATAGATACCCATAGATAATATATATTTTTTCCACCTAAAAATATGCTATAACAAGGGAAGAAGCTGTAAGTTCGGCCGGGCCGAACTTTGAATACCCTCGACCATTTAGAAGGAATTTGGCAATTCTCAAAAACAAAAAAATCCGTTTAAAATTCTGTTAAAATCTTAAAACTACCGAATGTAGCTACTATATTAGGGTCTATACGACGACATAAACCTGCGTAGGTAACATTTGTCATAAGCCATTACAATATTCAACTGCGAAACTTAAAAAAATTGGTTATAATGTCGATAAAATCAAAATACCGACCGTTATATGGGGGCTCTACGTAGACGTAGACCTGCACAGAGAATTTTCTGTCTTAGGCTGTAGTATCCATTATGGACTTAAAATAACAAATTTGAAACAATTCCTGTGAATATTATCGCAAAAGTCATCAAAATACCGAATATCGAGAGGTACCACTATATGGGGGCTATTCGAAGACGTGAACCTGGACAGACAATATCCATTATGGACTTCAAATACCAAATTTGAAATAATTCTGGTGAATAAATTCCTTAAAATCATCAAAACACCGAATCTCGGGAGGTACCGTTATATGGGGGCTATACCAAATCGAGTACCTACAAGGCCCATTTTTAATACCAAAAGTCCTTCAGATATAACATACATTTGAGCAAAATTTTATCAAGCTACTTCAATTTGTTCGGGGCTCTAGAGTGATTTCCACAGACGGACAGACAGACGGACGGACAGAAGTACGAACTTCGCTAAATCGACATTTACTTCTTACTTGATGTGTAAACTAGCCTCGGAACCATTTTGTCCAGAAGACCTTTGGCTGTTTTTAGTTGGGGTTCTATCTATTGAAGACCTTTTGTAAGTCTTCCATCCACAGAAGTCTCCCAGAAGATAAATGGAGGGTCTTCTATGCAGAGAAGCTCTTTTGAAGATATTTTATTGAAAGAAGATCTTCTAAACCGTGAAGGTATTTCTCAATGTCTATAATTCTGAAAAAAAGAACAATTTTAAAATCTTCTGACAAAAGATATTTATTGCATATTTTTGGGCCAGTTGCACTGGGCAGTCAGGACATAGTTCTCCACATAAGAAAATTTTCCTCTATTTGTTAGATTTTCCATTCAATTCTTACTTTTTTTCAAAAAACCCCTTTTTCCTACCCATTTCCAACTCAATCATCATTTCAATGTCAATGTTGTTTAAACCAAATGCGGTATTATTTGCTTCTATTCGAAGTTTTCTCCTCAGCTGGCACAGCTTTTGAGGCATTCCCATTTTTGTATGTTAAACAGAACCACACACCAGCCATTAAAGAGGATGACAACTCGTTAATGAGGACGATGTCATGCAAATTCCAAAGACTTCGAAAAGCGGAGGAAAAAAGTAAGCGGAACGAAAAAGAAGATGTGCCACATACTTGGCCAAAACAACAATTGAATAAACCGCTTTGGCAGTTGGCATTCGTTTTTGCTCCCTCATACAAGTTTCGGGATTTTTTGTTTTGTTGGGAAGATGGCTTAGCCATCTATCCATCCGTCGGGCCATTCATTCATCCAAGCCAGCCAAATGCAGCCAGCAAGGCAACACCAATCGATAAGAATCACCTTTAGGTTGGAACTCGGCAAACAGAACCACCAGCATCATTTCCATCAACAATGGTGAACTTATCCGTTTTGGTCACAACTAAATGGTCATTGTGTCTCAAGTATCCCCCCCAAAAAAAAATGCCATATCTTTCGGCCCAAAACAAAAAAAGCCAGCCAGCCATCCAAGCCTTTAAATCGAAATGAATTTTATGTTTTTGGTATTTTCACTTTTAAGCAAAATTCCTGACTTTTTCCAGAGAAATGGTAATTAGCCAGGGAGGAGTTACTTCTCCACAAGAGATTGTTATAAAGCCGAAACGAATTTGGTATGGAAAGATATACTCCCATCCTCTTTCCTCCAATCTTTTCCTTCTCCATGCTTTTGTCAAAGTCAAACTTTGCCACTAACTGCTGTCACCACCGCCACACATCAATGTCAAAACAGAACCGTGTTGCACAAGGAGTTTGGAACCTGTAACCGGTATTGATTAGCCATCCAAACGAGCCCGGCATGCAGGGAATAAATGCTGAACAGCTCGGTCATGCATTTGTAACATCTTCAATTGTCATGTGAATGAAATTGAGGTTCTGGTGGAATGCGCCTCTGCCAGCCAGCCGGAAACATTTGGGTGGATCAGAACGAAGTGGGAAGAACCTTATCAATGGGAAAATTAAAGAGAGGAACTTGGTGAGGTCCTCCCTTAAAATTAGATCTTCAAGGATTGTTGTAGAGAAATAAAAACATTTAAAACATCCAAAAGATCTTTAAAAAGCGTTCCACAGAAAAAAAGCGTTTATAAGGTATTTTATAGAAAGAAGGTTTCCATAAAAAAACTGACTTGAGTATATATTCTCTAGAAGTTTCCTTTAAGGTCGGCCAAAAAGAACTTTGAAAGATCTTACATAAAACGACATTTTTCATAGAGCGAGAACTCTCTTCATAGAAGATTTCAAAAACGG